GCCAAGAAGCCTGAAATGGCTAATATATGTGTGGAGACGATTGTCGAGGCCTTTGTTACAGAGACATTTGAAGGCTTGTCTGATGTGGAGCTTTTGAGTGCGATTATCAGCTTTGCCTCACGCAAGGTGGCGGAGGACGACGCCAAGGCTAAAGGATGGGTGACTGATCCAGTTCCTTCTGACGACGACCGTGTTCTGCATGAAGATGATGATGTCGTCGTGATTAAGGAAAGTGATATCGTCCGAGCACTGGAAGAGAAGGAAGAAGACGTAATTCAGCGCTTAAGCCAGAGATTAATTGAGCACATAGATGCTGTTGATAAGGACAAGGCTGGAGCCGAAATTCCTCAGTCTGGAGGGGCGTCGTCATCGGGGACCAAAGAAACCTAATATTTTTTTTTTTTGTCGTTTGTTTGTTTTTCTTGGAATGTATTGACAATATTTAGTTTTGGAATGAAATATTAATGTTTAATGATTGTTATATTCTTTATGAATGCTTCAATATGACTTATTGTTGTAATAAGTCAAAATACACCGGAAAAGGTGAATAAGTGCTTGTCAGATCAAAGTTTCCGACATAACATTAGTGTAATAATTTATAGGAACTACTGACGTCGGTGCAATCTTACAGTATTTCTGACATCAATAACTTTATCAGAACAAGTTACGACAAACTTGCTTTTATTGGAAGCATTTATCGTGGAAGTCCTTGAATGTCTCAAAGAACTTAAGAATTTTATTGTCAGCTCATCAAATCGACGTCGGGATTTGATATTAAAGAGCATAAGCCTTCCCAAACCATCTTCAGGGCTTGGGAGCATCCGGCTTTGTTGCGTTTGGCTAGGTCATACCATCTTCAGGGTACGAAACACGTTTAGCCTTAGCAACGAGGACCGATTTATTGTGGTCCGAGTGATCGAACAAATTATAGAGGTTCGTCACACAAATTTTATTGATAGCAAAATATGGTTCTTGTACAGGAGTAGGACAAAAACTTTTCACATGTCAAGAGCAGAATTTTGATCTTCAAACTCACTGATAATACTTCTTCAAATGAGTCGCATGCCAGGGATATGGAAGAGGAACACCGTCTAAAGTTTCAAGTCGGTAGGTGCCATTAGAAATCGGATGATTTACTTTAAAGGGTCCTTCCCACTTCGGTTGTAACGGGCCGACATTGGCCCCAGTGATCCTTTTCAGCACTAGGTCTCCTTTGACAAATGAGCGTGGCTTGAGTCTTGAGTTGATGTACTTTTCACTACGTCGTTTATAAGCGCCATTTCGTATTTCAGCGTCAGCCCGTAGCTCATCGACCAAATCGAGATTGGCTCTCAAGTCGGCCGAGTTGGTTCCTTTAGAGAAGTGAGTGACCCGGTATGTTGGAGAAGCCAGTTCAACCGGTATTACTGCTT